ACACCAGGACCTCCAATGCGGCCAGTTGCGTATCCGACTACCATATGGCTTCCTCTTACCTGCTATCGTTAGCACTTTGCACCGTTACCTAGCCTCTGTGATTTGGGTGATAAAATAGAGGACGTGTAGGGTGGTTAAATTGGCACCCTCAGCTGAACTTCGGCTGCCAGTCAAAAGTGGCTTCAGTAGAGGTACCTAGTCCAAAAGTTCCACACACCTTTTCACCATCCTATCATCACCACTCGACCTACGTTTCCTCATTCTTACCATTGCTTACGCGAGTTATCGTTGGCTGGCACAGACGGTCGCCCATCGGTAGAACTTCCAGTGTTGGCGCTTTGGTTTACCTTGACTGACGCTAATGGCTAGCCGCAAGGCCGGTCGGGCTATGAACCGACACTAGAAGGCACAACATTTCCTACCAAAGTCCGCGATTCAGAGAAGAAATAACCCCCCAAACAAGCAACAATCACTGCTGACATGCAGCCAGTCGTATTCACATTCGGTCCTCTCACTCGTTTTTTCCTCAGCAACCCTTGCTTTCACAGAAATTTTCTCATTCCACCTCCCACGGATTTTTTTAATCCCGTGACCACTTACATTTCATCTGTCTGGGTGGTCAGTACGCTGACAGATCTTTTTTCGCGCAATTTCATATCCCTCGATCGCGCAACGATGCCGTCCGCTGTCGGCGGCGGAAGTTGGCAATGCTCCGCTGCTAAGTTTTATTTCATCTTCCTTCCGTGCGTACACTGGCCTCCTTCTAAAGTTTCTGCCAGCTGGTATGTAGGCCACACTTGCCTGGCTTCCCACCAACGGAGTAAGGTTCGTTTATATGCTTTAAGAGTATATCCCGGGTCTAAGGTTTTGTATACTGTTGAATGCCGAGCAACAGCCGATACTGCACTCCATCGATGTACGCCCATATCAATTTTCAGGACACAGGACCAAATTATCGTAAAGCACACTTGAGGCGACTCAAATATCCCTCAACGACATTAGTCCGTCCATCTGTTGCGGGATCGACAAAGTTCTTTGAATTACTCGCGTTGCACGGACAACTTCAGTAAGCTGACTACAACGGCCGTCTACCAGAGACAACTACTGCTGACTTAAATTCTTTCTTTTGGGACATGATGTTATAATCTTGCCAGAAGCCTACATATTCACAGTCCAATAACACCTCGTTCGAATTCTCGAAGGAGAACACAACGGCAAGGGCGCAAGAACAAACTTCCATTAACGGACTCAGCGCAGCACATTTAAGGCAAGCCAAGCGTTACAAACATTCAGAAGATCGGACCAATTAGATAGTGTCCTCAAGCGAGTAGCGACTAAATTGGCATTCTAATTCGTCCGACTAGCCTGTAAGTCATATACCCGACCGCAGCCTGCGCGTCATCGTTACATGCACTGCATGTGGGTGGATCAATAGCATGGCGTGGGAGAGACTAGGCAGGGCAGCGTGCCAACAAGTAGGTTAGGTCCCTAATAGCAATGTCCCGGCACCAAAAGATAGAATGGTTCCAGTGGGACCAAAGGATAGAGACGAATAGCCTTTGGTCCTACTGCGCCGTGATTGCGTGTATGGGCGGTATTCCGTGCGCTGACTGGGGGAGCTTACATGCCGTCATCGAAATCGATGGTCGAACACACACAAGCCCCCCG